CCGGCTGCCCCTTCACTCCGCGCTGGCTTCCAGCAGACTCAGCCCGGCGGCGCGCGAGCTCAGTCTGTCTCCCCTGACTTTGCCTGTCTCGCTCTTGCCCTTTCCTTATCTGCGCTCCCTTCTCTCTCCTTCGGTTTTCCATTCCACCTTTCCTCTCCTGCTCCCCTTTCTGTGCACCCCGCTCCTGGACTACCCCTTCCTCTAACTCACCAGTTTCCCTTCCCCTTTCCCCACCTCCTGCCCGGAAAGGCTGGACTTCTCTGTTCTAGGACCAAGGTGGGGGTTTTCTTTGCCGCATCGGGGTTCCCAGACTGGTCCAGAACCTCCGCGCTCCTGCCCCCAATTTCAAATCAGCCTTTCCACCTCAGTCACAGGGGCAGAGTTTCAGGTGAGGGCGAGGGCCTGCTTCCTGTACAGCTGTGCATCCCACCCAGACTACCAGCCTCATTTTCTCTTTCTCCATCATTTTTAACGTCCAGCAGTGGGGCCGGGAAGGGTCATCCAAGTTGGGACCCGAGGACAAAGGCTTAGTTAATGGGCCGGTGGGATGGCGGGGGTGTCAGGTGCCCCAGAGCTGAGATTAGGATTATGGAGACAGAGGAGAAAGGGAGGGAATGGAAAAATGGGGAAAGACGGCCCAGAGAGTGGAGTCATTTGTTTCTGCCACGTCCCTCTCAAAACCCTACAGGAGATTCTTGATGCCTTCTGGACTCAACCTGGAACCTTCAGTTCCAGGCCTCCTGAAAGGCGGCACAGCAAAGGGTTTAAGAACACAGGTAGACTTTGCTTTTTGTTTTATTTTCATTATTTATTTATTTTGTGTATATGTGCTGCTGAAGCAAACACAATTTATGTATTTATTTATTTATTTTTTGGACTGAGAATTGAACTCAGGGCTTTAATACTGAGTTGTAACCTCAACCTTTTCAATTTTCTTTTAAAATTTTGGGACAGGGTCTCTCTAAGCATGAAAGGTGGGCTTGAGCTTGTGATTCTCTTGCCTCAGAGGGCAGTGCTTTAATCTCCCTGTACCCCAGCTTTTTCATTTGTGCATCAAGGTGATATGTCCCAGAACATGAACTCCTGGGGGCGGGGGGAGGGATTTGTTCTCTTTGGTTCATGGCTGAGGACTTGGTCTGTTCTGTTCATAGATGTCTCCCCAACACCTGGAACTTGCACATATAGTAGACAGTCCGTACATTTTTTTGTTAAATGAATGAATTCCTGGGTTATAGGTTTGTTGTGAGAATCCCTGGCTTACGCAAAGTACTTACACATGGTAGCAACTACAGCCCTACAGCTTCGATGTGGACTCAGAGCGCTCAGCCTTTGCCACGGGACACTGCTGCCTCGCCTTCTTGTGTGCCTGTCCCTCCACCTGAAGAGATCTCCCCCTGCTCAGGTAGCTCTCCCTCCAAAGTCTGAGGTCTAAAGTACAGTCTTCACCCCGCTTCTCTGGTCATCCTCGCACAACCTCCTTCCTGGAGAGCCCCAGATGTCCCGTATCCCAGTCACGGACACAGCATGGGTGTGCTCGCTCACAGTGATGGGAGTGTCTCAGGAATTTTTGCTGAATGAGTGGACACTGATTCCACATTCTGCGCCCCAAGGTAACAGTAGACTCTTAGGAGGTAGAGTAAGGGATCAGTGGACCCCAAACTTTGGTCAAACTCCTTTTTGTGCCTTCTCCAGGTAAAGAAAGGATCCTGGGTGTCTTCTGGTTCTGACCCTGTCATTAGCTATTTATACGCTTTGGACAAGTCATATCCCTGGCAAGGCCTCAGTTTCCTCATCTGCAAGTAGCCAGGGTGAGATGCTCTTCAAGGCTCTCCTGCTGGGTGACACATCTGTCAGAGGTGCTCTGGGTAGGAGGACTGGGTGTGATCTGCAGCGCTGGAGTGATTGAGTCAGGCTGGTGTGGGCAGTGTGTTGGTGTGTGTGTGGAGGGCGGAACTGAGATATACCATAGAGTAAAAGGAACACCTTCGGGAAGAGACGTTTCAGGGACAAAGTGGGGTGCACTGAGATTGAGGATGAGTGTAAGGATGAAGAACGGAGGGAGGAGGCCCGTGGCTGATGGTACAGCTCTTGTGTAATGTGGTTGTGTGTATGTGTGTGCACACGTGTGTCTGTGAGTAGAAAGGCGCCAGCTGGGAACGTGATCTCCAGCAGGACAAAGCCATAAATCGTGCCTGATTCAGCAGTGGGATATGGTACTGCAATGGATGCACGTCTCGCCCTCCCCTCCACACACACACACACACACACACACACACACACACACACACCAACTCTCAACCTGGCTCCTCCCCTCCATGGTCTATGAAAGTGCGCTGCCCTTCCTGGTACCTAGGCTCCTGAGACAGTGTCCCACGTGGGTCTCTGCATCTCTCAGGCTCACCATTGCCTGACTGGGGTCTGGAAAGTGTATTCTTGTAACCATTCCTGGCCCCCCTCTTCTGGTCATCCCTTGAGTTGCGTTGCCTACTGCTCTCGCTCGTAATCTCCTTCATCCCTAGGATGAAGGCTCCTCAGTAACAGGGGTCTAATAATATTTACACTATCAATCTCGTTGCAGTGGTGGATACAGATAAGAATTATAGTGAAAGCGGTATGAAAATTAGAAAATATCACTCTGTGTGTGTGCGTGTGCACGCGCGTGTGTAACTGGGAATCCAACCCAGGGTCTTCATACTGAGCTACATCCTGAGTCCTTGTTTATTTGCTTCAGCCTGGGCAACTTAGCAAATTATTGAAATTCTGTGTCAAAATAAAAATTTAGGGCAGGGAATTTAGCTCCGTGCTTCTGCTGCCTGCCATGAAAGTGCAAAGTGCAAGGTCCAGAGTTTGGTCCCCCATACAAAAAAAAAAAAAAATTAAAAAAGAGCCGGGTATGTAGCTCAGTGTGAAGGCTCTGGATTCAATTCCCAGCACACAGACCAACAAAAACAGCAGCAGCAACCACAAAAATAACAGCGACGAAACAGTCCCCTTGGAGTTGCTCCAGCTGTGCAGCTCTGTAACCAGAATTCACTTTTCAGATCTGTAAGTGCTGGGCCATCTCACCCCTCCTGTCTCTGAGCTTCACTAAACCCTGCTTTGACTGGGAGAAACACCTTGTCCCTGCCTTCTCTCAGTGCTCTAAAGATAAAGGAGATAAATGCAAACAGTACTTCTAATTTCCTAGAAAGTATTGCCTGACTTCAAGGAATTGCTTATCATCATCACTAGCTTTATTATTGGTAAATTCATTCTAGGAACTCAACTGGAATTCAGGCTAGAGAAGCCCTAGAGGGAAGAGGCACTCTTAGGTGTCCTGGGAGAACTTGCTGACATCAGAATTCCTACCCAGTGATGACTCCACTACTCTTAGATGCTCACCCTACTTTAGGAAATGTGTCTGCCTCACTCTTCCAATGCAAGAATGACTGTGTCACAGAGCAAGATAAGAATCAGCTCAGAGAGGGTGTGGTGGCCATGCCTGTACTCCCAGCACTCTGGGAGACTGGCAAAAGGATCGAAAGTTTCAGCCCAGCCTGGGCAACTTAGCAATTTGGTGAGACCCCTATCAAAATAAAGAAATGGAAAAAGGACTGGGAATGTAGCTCAGTGCAATGGTCCTGAGGTCATTCTCCAGAGCTCACCAAGTAGGGTGGAGGGGCAGCTTCACTGGAGCTGGGACACCAGAGTTTAATGGCCCGAGGTTTTGGTTTGTCTTTCAAAACTTTGTCACTGATGCAGTGCATGACTGTGGCTGGATTTTGCACCCCTAGCTGCAGGCAGGCAGAGTATAGTGATCCATCCGACTTGTCCAGTGCAGTACCAGGGCTCAAATGACAGTCACAGACTTCTGACATGGGTGGGCTTTGCCCCAAGACTCCTGAGATATTCCCAGAGTCTTGAACTAAACTACTTTTGAACTACACTAAAGAGAAATAATTAGGAAGTGTTTGGGATTGAACCCCCCACTTGTAATGGGCTATCAAAGACTATTTCTAATTCAACATCCAATCTTAGGAAGGTCCTAGCCCAGAATCTGTACTCAAATTCACCTCTTCTGTGGTTTTGACAAGTTGGCCTAAAACTGAACCATGAGGATGTTTCTATTTATAAGTAACAGAAAGGCCAGCTCAAACCAGCCTAAACTAGGACAGAATAGATCTGCAGAGTTAAGAACTTCAGATATCGGCTCCCAGCAGTATTCATACCTTGGCTTCACAATAGCACAGGGCTTGGGTCTTTCCCTCTGTTCAGCTGTCCTGGGAGCATGAGATTTACCCTGAGCATGGTTGCTTGGTGGGGGCAGACTGGAGCTATCAGTCCTGTCACACAGAACCAGCAGTGGGCCGAGGAATAAAGGTTCTTTGTTCCTGCATCATCTTCCTAGGATTGAAAAACCTTTCCTGGAAGGCCTTGAGCTGTCACAGAGCAGGCTTGGCCACATCAACCAGCAGTCATCGGCAGATTCGATTAAATCATCCTCCTTGGTTTGTGCAATTGCTTGGGGCTAGAACAGATGTTGGGATGCACCTGTGCATCTCACCTGTGAATTCAAGAAGGGGCAAGTCCTGCAGCTGGGTTAGAGGCACACACTTTTATCCCAGTGCTCTGGCAGGCTGAGGGAGGAGGATCGCAAGCTCAAGCCTAACCAAAGCAAGTGACTTAGTGAGAGCCTGATTTAAAATATAAAACATAAAAAGATCTGAGGATGCAGCTTAGTTTAAAGGCCCTGGTTTCAGTCTTCATTACTCTGACAACACACACGTACACACACGAAGAAGAAGAAAGTTGGGGGAGAAAGAGAAACACCCCGGAGAGAACTAACAGTCACAAATCTCCAATGGACACTTTATCTTATTTAACAGTATCTTATTTAACAATCCTAGAAGTAGCTCTCACCATTAGTAAGCAGAGGAAAAAGAATGGGAATTCAGGCCTGCCTGAGCCTTTGCTCTCTCTCCCTCTAGCCAGTCTCTTCTGCATCGACTCCTGTCAACTCTACCCACCCCATAAATGAGAGTCTTCCAGGGCCACAGTGAGCACACATATAAAATAGGTTCCCCCTCTACCGCCACATTTACACTGCTTAGCTCAGCTCTCAAATCCTCCCACTTGCCCAGGATGGGTCTCTCCCTGTCATGGTCAACCCAGAGCACCCAATTGTCTCCCCAGCCCTGTGGAGGTCACTTCCTCATCCCTACCCTCACCATCCTTCAAGCTGGAACTTCAGAGTGGTCTTGCAAGGCTTTCTTGAAGTCCTCCTTTATCTCCCACCACACCCCACAGATGTCCTCTTGAATAGCATTTCCCTATCCTGCCCTCCATTACTTTTTTGTGCAGTGTGTAGCTTGTGTACAGTTGTTTCAGGTGGACAAATTTTACTTTGCTATGAGATTTAATAGCTCAATACTGGACAAATGGCAGGTGCTCAGCAAACATTTAGTGATAAATTAGGGCAAAGACCACCTCTTATTTTTCTGTATCCTTAATAGCACCCAGCCTGCTCTTGAGCACATGGTTGGTGACTAATGGACTAATTGACTTCAGGCTAATTTCTCCCCAGGGCTGGGGAAAGGCACACAGACAAAACAGAGTTGGCATGACCCTTTGCAAATGGGCCCTGTCATGCTTGCATTTGCTCAGAGCCCTAAACTCATTTAAACAAATAGAGCACATGAGACCATGGCTTCTGGGAAACCACTTGGCTCTCCTATGGGGAACGTGGCACGTTCATTTCCTCCCCTAGGGAGAAGAGAAAAATAGCAGAGGCTTTGGAGGCCCTGTGTGCTGCAATTTAATTTACTCATTTACTCAGGCGTGGTGTCCCAGGGCACTGCTCCTGGAGTCCTAGGTAGAGAGGACTTTTTTTCTGACGGTTGAAGAGTCACGAGCTGGTGTTTGGGATATGGCTGGGCTCCTGCTGGCCTGCACAGCTTGCTAACTGAGCCCTCCAGATCCCGAGCCCCTCGGTCTCTCTCCATTCTCTGCAGCCTTCTGGTGTTAACTGCACTCTCTCTCCTCAGCATCTCAAATTCTCCACTTGGTACTCATAAATTTCACTTGGATTCCCAACCTGAACTATAGTCTTCGCCACGTGGACTCAAGGTGATCACCTGCAAAATCAGGGAGGAAGAGAAAGAGGCAGGGAAATTCCTGTGGCAGGTCAATCTCTGAGGTCACTCCCCAGCATTTTCCCAACAATTTTAGGAAAAAGAGAGTCAGAAAAGGAGAGTGTGTTGAGTAGTCTGTCCAGGAGAGGCTCTTGGATAGGGTTGACTGATTTTGCCTTCAAGGTTCAGTGGAGACAAAATTGTGAAGTAGCATTAGTTAGCTGGAGGCTTCCTGGTGATACAGTGTTGTTGTTCTTGGTTATCTGCAGCTTCAATCCCTGGACTGAAAATATTTTTAAAAGTTGTGAGGCTGAGGGTATACCTCAGTGATACCACACTTTGCCTAACAATTGTAAGTCCTTAGGTTTGAGCTTCAGCATTGAAAAAAAATATATCTGTGTCATACATGTACTGATTATGTTTTCCTGTTATTTGCTAAACAATAATGTATAAAAACTATTTCTATAGCCTGTACATTATACTAAGTGTGTAAGTCATCTAGAGAAGTTTTAAAGTCTACAGAAGGGTGTGCCAAAGCTATGTGCAAAGATTATACCATTTTATGTGAAGGACTTAAGCATCTGTGGATTTGGGTATGCTGGAACCATTTCCTGTGGATTGGAGGAATAACGATATCTGCCTCAGTACTCTGTGCTGGTCAAATGGGGTGCTGTTATAAAGGGCTTAACACGGTGAGAAATGGAGAGAAAACCTCTCTCTCTCAATCTCTCTCCCCCTCTTTCTTTCTTTTTTTTTTTGTTTTGTTTTGTTTTGAGATAGGGTCTTGCTATGTAGTTTAGGCTGGTATTGAACTCACTATGTAGTCCAGGTTGGCCTTGAACTCATAGCAATCCTCCTGTTTCAGCCTCCTGAGTGCTAGGATTACAGGCACGCAGCACCACAACAAGCCTGAAAAACCCTTTCTAAATGGCAATTGTTAGCCGGGCATGGTGACACACACCAGTAATCCCAGCACTCAGGAGGTTGAGGCAGGAGAATCGCTGCAAGTTCAAGGCCAGCCTGAACTGCACAGTGAGACTTGTCTCTTTGCCACCCGCTTTTCCAAATCAGAACCCTATCAGAAATGACCTCAAGATTTGACCTAAAGCCCACCCAGCATGATGTAACAGAAAAAGAACAATACTTTGCGCCTATAGACCAGGTGTGGGAGACACAGATTTGAAATCTGTATGTAGTAGCTGTATAACCTTGGCCCAGTCTCCTGCCTCTTAATACTCTGTCTCCTGACCTCTTCAATGATGTTAATGACATCATTCTGGGGGATGGACATAGGAAAATAATAGGGAGGACTAAAACAGCACCCACCACAATTCTAAGGAGTGGTGATCACTATAAAATCAAGCACTTCCCACCAACATGTGCAAGACTGGCAGCTCAATGTTGCCTCCTTCCCAGCCCCCCACCTCTCCCCAAGCTCTCCAGATTTGATCATAGGAGATAATTCATCTAAATGAAAGAAGCTGGTATTCCTAGAGGTCAAAGCAGGCTCCTGGGAGGACAATAGGACTTCATCTTGTCCTTGAAATCTCAAGGTTAAATTTAGAGCAGAGCTGGGCCACCAAGCGGGATGCAAAAGCCTGAAGTAGAAGTTAGAGGGAAACAGCCAGGGGAACTCATCCAAAATGGCAGCTTGGGAGGAAGTAGCCGGCTGCTTGTTCTGGAACCTCTCAGAGCAGTGTTTAGAATGTTCTCGCTCATTAATCCTATTTAAAGCCTTGCTGCTGAGAGGGGAGGCGGGGAGTCCTGTTTCAACTTGCAGCAGTGAGGTTCCCTGCTGCCACCTCCCACCTCTGCTGCTGCAGGGCTAAGCTCAATGCTGGGGGAGCAGGGCACCTTGAAGCCACCGTTGCTGGCTGTCACTGCCTCCTAGGAACTACTCAGGCTTTCCCTTCCCTTAGACCTGCATTTGACTGCCCACATGATGGCCTCAGTCTCTGCTGAGGGAGACGCTGCTTGCTAAGAAGGCCAGAGGTGTGGGCTGGAGGGCTGGCTGCTGTGGTAATGAAGGGGTGCTAGGCAGAGGTGACTCTCCATTGACGTGCAATGGGGGTAGGGACACGGGAGGGGGGACTTTTGTGCAAGAATGCCTTTGGGGAAAGGCCTTCTGTCTCTGGGTGCCAGGAGGTCTCTAGCTGATTTTTAAAGCTGAGAACAGATATTCCCAGCTTCTGTTTTTTGGATTCTCTTGGAAAAGTCAGATCTAGGGAGGAGACTCCTTTGCCTGGGAAAGCAAATGTGTGAGCCAACCTGTTATTAATAATGTAGCTTTAGCCTTTGGCAGAAAAAGAATAATGGGTAGTGTTGATCTCTATGGTACTATTCTTGGGAGGCCAAAAGGGGACTTCATTTTCTAAGCATCTCCTTATGACGGAGAGTTAATGCTTGAGATTCATCTGTGAGCAAGACACAATCTCCCAGTGGTGCCTCCAGACCAGAGTTCCCAGGTAGCTCTAACATACTAGCTGTGTGATGATGGCTTAATCATCGGACACTAGCCAACTTACCTGCAAAGTAAGGAAAGTGCCAGCCCTCATCGTATATGTCTATATCTCACTGGGGTCTGGTCAGATCCAAAGGAAGTGAACCTACTTTAAGTCACTGTGTACACAAGGGAGAAGCACCTCCTTCACTCAGGGCCCCCTCCCCCTCCTGCCCTTGCCCCCCCCCATATTCCCATATGCTCCAGGGCCAAACACTCACATTTCACTGTGATAAGCTTGCCCTTGCTGTTCCTTCCTCCATGACCAAGGTCAAAGCCTCTTCTACAAAGATGGCCTGCTGTTGAGCGACCTCTGTGCCATGATCAGGAAAGCACCTTGGAAGTAGAATCAACCTTCGAGAAAAGTGGAATCTTCAGTGGGAGGTGTAATACAGCAACAGAAAACCAAACTCACTAAACTCAGGACCCATCCTGGTCAGGCCGAGTGGCCTTTGTGAAGGCACTTAATTGTTTTGTACCCTGGTTTTTCCTTTCAATAAAATAAATCTTTTGTGTCCATTTGGCTTGCAGAAAGGTGGCAGGAGACTGAATGAACTGCTGCAGATATAAGGTAATTTAGACCCTTGGGGTTGTCAGGCTGTCCTTGATAAACACTCGTTCCGAGGCACTCTTGTTATCTTGAAGCACAGCCAACTGCACTGTGATTTGCATTAAACTCCCACAATGCCAGGCACCATTCTCATTGCCTTGAAAGCAGTAAAGCAATTGGGGGAAATATGCTATTTTGGGACTTAACATTGAAAAGCAAAAAAAAAAAAAAAAAAAA